GGAGGCATTATGCATCTTTGAAACATCGGTACACTTCTACCGTACTACACGGAGGAGCATTGTTTCGTGTCTGTGGTCTCATAACAAGCAACGTTCATAAACCATCAGATGCTCACAAAGTGTCTGAATAATAATTTATGACTCGAGCACTTCTCTGTGGTAGCGAAAATTAAATGCTCAGGGTAACGCATGCAGCTAGAATTATATATAACAGCTGAAGTTAAATTGAGTTTGGTGGTTCGTAAAATAACCCAGAATATGGTGCAAGACCTGATTATTTTAACCAACGTTAAACAATATTTTAAAACATAAAATACCAACTAAATCTTTGCGCAGGCAGAATGTAGACAGAGACGTCCCTAAAATCATAATTATTTTAAGGTTGGTTAACAAATGCGTGTACTGGGTATGGATAATAATCTGTAGGTACACTCCGTCATTCGAGAATGGGAAAACCACGTAGGAAGAATGAGTTCATAAGAGTTTTTTTTACTAGATGCTGCCTTGGAGCATGTGATTTCGGAGGACAGACTTGAACTCTCGTGAAATTAATTAGCCTAAAAGTATAGGTATGATGTAAAATAATTAAATATGTGGTGAGACATGGAACTTGATTATATTAAAGTTAATTTGGGATTATTTCATCAGAGTAGATGAAGCACGAGTACTCCTGATCCGTTTCACCACAAACGATTACTGGTGATGAAATGAATAATTATCGATACGAGACGAAACAAAATGTCCACTATCAAACTCCTGGTGTCAACGAGCCATCCGAAGCGGAGACTTAATGTGAAAGTGGTTTTCAGTATTTTGCCATGAAGCCTCTCGTCATTGTTTTGCATGTCAGATTTTGTTTATATTTTAATCAGATTTGCGACGTTTGAGAACTACAGAAATATGATATTTAATTATCAGCGTGCAAAAAACTGACGTCTCAAGGTGTTGTTTGTGTTGGAGTGTTGTATATTAGGTAGCGTGGTCTCGGAAGCGGTTTGTATGTTTCGTTCTTGTTATTCTGAATTATAACCGGTAAAAGAAGAAGCCGCCAAAGTCGAGTGATTTTATTGGAAAACTTTTTGGATATAAAAATTGCTGTCTTCTGGGTTGTTGCGCCGTGTAGTCTAACATTCATCGCCCTGTTGACCTCTGAAACGTTGGTGGAAATCTACCAGACTACACGGCGCAACAACCCAGAAGACAGAAATCTTCATACTCACCGCTGTGAAAACCTCAAATCTTACATGGATGGATATAAGTAAACTGACGTGGAAACAAAATTTAACTGCTGTTTGTGACGCCTCCCACTTTTACGTGTCTGTCGGGATCAGTACTAAGCAAATATTAAGTATTTCTTCTCCTTTCTCATTTATCTTGCCTGTTTTTATTCTCAATTATTTTTGAAACTGTGAATCCTGAGATATTTGGTAGGACTCGTTTGGACGGATAAATCAGCCCACTCCAAGCTTTTTACCTTCCCAGAATTTTAGGCCAGTAGGCCTGTGTAATAACTATAAAGCCACTTCCACGAGTCTCTGTGTTATTGTTCCGATGTAAGTAGAATCACGTGTCTTTTTACAATAAATTAGTTATTCAGTGGACTAATGTTAAGTAGGCGTACTGGAAATCGGGGCCCTGAAACTGGCCATAATGACTGCCTATTCTTATGGTTTTCTTCAGCCCCTCCATGAAAATGCGGGCTAGTACCTTAAATGAAGTCAGGAATACTTCTATATCCTTCCCAATTCGCTGTTTTATTTCATTCTGTCATTTGAAAACACGTGGTTTGAGCTGCTGAGAGCGTTGTTAAATAAATCAGTGATTAATTAAACTTTTACTAGCTCACGTTCAGATTGTCGTTAAATAAGATCAGTCAATACGAGCCTTTAGAACGAGGGCCATATGTCGCTTTTACGTGTCATTACCCTTCCCCAAACTTTACGATTTTGGGGTAAGGTAAATTTTATGTGAACACTAAATCAGTTTGAAATCACATCCTTC